TTTTTTTTTCCCCTCTGAAAGTTTGTGTTTCTTTTTCTCTAGGGATGAGATAGAGCTCTGGTGGCCTACTGAATAGGGAGATGAGCTGCCAACACAAAGGCAGGTATTTTCCTCCAGGAGAAAAATAAGCAGTCTCTTCCCATGTAGTATATACTCTTTGAAAACCCACTGGAGTCTCATCTGTGAGTTGACAAGAATGATGAGGTTTTGTCTCACACATTTAAAACATGCTGCCAGGAGAAGGACATGATGCTAGGATGAGTGGAGGGTCAATAAACGAGAGGAAGACCCTTAACCAGGTTAATTGGTTTAGTGACTGCCACAATGGGCACCTGTGTGTCAGGAAGTGTAAGGACGGTGCAGGATAGAACAGGGTTCAGATCTTTTGCTTATAGGGTCACTATGAGTCATACTTGACTCAATGGTGCCTAACTAAATCAACAACAACATCTGTCAAAATACTAACATTTTTATATATACAACTCAAAATAATTATAAAGAGAAATACAGTCTTGATACACATAGAAATGTTTAAGAAAGTGGAAAAGTTCATGCTGAATGAGATAAGTAAACTCACAAGGATAATATTTTATGATCTCACTTATATCAAATAAATTGATAGAAGCCAATGGTTTTTACAGATCATATGTTAGAAGAGAAATAAAGTATTTTGACTTAGGAAATATCAGGTCTATTATAATATTATAGAATATTTTGTAAAAAGGTAATACACATTGCATAGCAGGACTCATTCTTGCCTGCAAAGAACACTCTGGCTGCACGCTCTCTAAGACATATATGGTTTATCTTTTGGCTGTCCACGGGATATTCAGTGCTCTTCTCCATCACCACAGATCAAAGGTGTGAATTATTTTTCTGTCTTCTTTCATTTTCCAGCTCTCAAATGCATAGCTAGTAGTCGGAGAGACCATTGTCTGAATCAGATACACGTTAGTTCTCAAGCTGACATCATTACTCCTCAATAATTTGGAGAGGTCCCTAACTGTAGATTTTCCCAATGCATGCATATATTTTTTTTCTCCTGGCAATTGGTACTAAGGGTGTTAATTGTGGATCCAAGCAGGATGAAGATATTGACAGTTTCAAACTTTTCTCAATCCATCATGATGTTGCCAAAGTTCCAATGGTAACAATCTTTTTCTTGACATTGAGATGCAATCCATACCAAACGGTGCTTTCCTTGATCTTCAACAAGCACTTTAAGTTGCCCTTACTTTCAGCAAGCAAGTTCCTCTTATCTGCATAACATACGTTATTGATGAATCTCCTTCCAATCCTGATTGCCACATTCCTCTTCATAGAATCCAGCTTCTTGAATAATTTACTCAGCATACATATTAAATAGATATAGAGAGATAATACAACCATGACATACTCACTCCTTAAATTTAGACCACATAATGTTTGTTCTCCTGATCTGTTCACACAACAGCATCCTGGTTAAGGTCCAATTTTAGCATGAGCATAGTTAAGTGCTCTGGGACCCACATTCTTCTCAATGTTAGCCACAACTCATTATGACCCACGTAGTCAAATGCTTTTGTATACTCAATAAAGCACAATAGACATTCTTCTGGTATTCTTTGCTTTCAGCCAGAATCTCTATGACATCAACAATGTCAGATAGATCTTATCTTTTGGCAGATATTTAGGATATTTCTATGTTGTCATATTGCTTTTTAAGCAATGATTTTCTCAGTGTGTCAAAGGGATGACTTCCAAAGAAGTCCAGAAGCCTTCTCAAGTAAGAACTAGAAAGTTCTGACTCGGATATAGGACTTGATAGAACACTACTACAAGAAAGATACTGACTGACAATAGTTGAGAGCAAGTCAAAGAAAGAAAGCTATATTAGATGTTCATAACAGACTATACACATGCCAGGTAGAAACTTCTGGAGATCTGGAAGATCAAAAACTCCAATCAGGACAAAGTGTTTCAATACTGAGACACTTATTTAAACTCCTTTCACTTCATGTTTCATCTATAAGACTGATTCAGTTAGAAATACAAGTTACTACACTCTTCTTAGATTTTGTACTTTTGCATGTAATTAATTGAGAGTGGAGGCTGTGCAATTTTTCCAATTGCCTCAAGAGTGACTCCTATAAATATCTGTGGTTCAAAATGATGGTTAAGTATTTTGAAATTATTGTTCAGTGTATCTCTAAGAAAATTTCTACTGGAATTTGTGTACTTGTATGTGTAATAGAGAAATTCTTTTGCAGAGAAGTGCAACAATGACTGACTGGAAACCCTAAGTCTCTGTAAACCTGCATTAAAATTAATAAAAAAAGAGAAGTCTAAAAAAATTGAAAAAAAGAAAAAAGATATTCTTACATGTCCTTGTTTCTGGTGATGAAATATAAGATTCAAATTTGCTATTTATTTAAGACTTCTTCTGGCAGTTCCCTGTCAGTGCACTGCTCTAGCTGGTTTTGAAGATCTTCAGCAGTACTTTGCTTGCTTGTGATGTTAATAATATTATTTGATAATTTCCACATTTTATTAGGTAAGTTGGTTATTAACAAACTATGGTTTTCCTACAGTGTTAGCAAGTCTTGCTTTCCTTTAACATGAAGACTTTTTTCTTATAAATCAATACCCTATAATTCATGCTTTGTATTGGAGAAGTTCTGTTTCTTGTATATTAATAAAATGTGTTACAAAGCAATAAAAAACATAATGAGTTAACTATCAGTTGCTATAGGCTGATATTCCATCTTTATTCCATCTCCATTTCAATATATAGACTTTTAAATTAGTAATCATCATTCTTATTCAGCTTTATGTTTAAACATACTTTAGAGACAAGCTTAATTAGCATTTATGTTCAAGGAAGACATTTCAACTAGAATAACCATCCACCTCTTTATTTTTCATACACACCTGTTTTGTTAGAAATATAAAGCCTAAACAATCTATTATGTTCTCACAATTTATATAAATTCTCACTAATTATTGTCTTTCTCTTGACATTGTGCCATTCAGTCTTATTTCTGGCATACCCTGCAATTTGCACATAAATATGTGTTAGACTATAAATGGCAATCAATTTCTTTTTGCACCTTTATTATGTCTGCACATACATGATATACTCTTTATATAAGCCTAAGTATTTCTCTATGTCACACATATTTTTATCCAAAAGTTGGATTACTAATATTCATATAATTAACTTAATGACTTCTATTATAACTTATAAGTTAGCTTTATAAGTCAAATTATGTAGAACCTTTAGAATCTATATAATTTAGATTCCTTAGATCCAGACTTCAGAATAATTGCCAAGGGTTAAGGATGAATTCCTACTCCAAACTGGGTCAGTTTCCTACTATTATTCATTATATTGCAGTATATTATAGGTTACTTGATTTATTATATGTCTTCACTGATGTCAGTCTGGAGTCTATAGTGCTCCTGATTCGGGCTATGGACTTTGCTGTTACTTGATATGTATTAGAGAGCAAGACAATAACTAGGTTTTACAAAACTGATGCCTTTGAGTTGTGGTGTTGAGAAAGAGTATTGAACATTCCATGGACGACTAAGGGAACAAATAGGTCTGAACTGGAGAGAGGGAAACCAGGCTGCTTTTGGAGACAAGGATTTTGAAGCTCCATTTCACATAATTTGGGCATGTAGCCAGGAGGAACAAATCCTGGAGAAGGACATCATGCTTAAGAGGATAGAGACACAGCACAGGAAAGGAAGACCCTGGGTGAGATGGATTGACACAGTAACTTAGATAAAGGGGGTAGGTGTATCAGAGTTAGTGACACTGGCTCAAGATAGGGCAGAGTTTATCTTTGCTCTGATTTGCAGGTGACTGGATGACATATAACAACATTATTGTGTTAATGAATTATATTTTTTATTCACCTTAATAATCCATATTAGAGTAATATTGAAGATTAAACTCCACATAAGCATACATTCAATGTTTACTTATATTCTGATATTTGCAGAATTGTGAAGAAATGGATAGCAAAATTCATTCATTTGATCTTTAAATCACTCATTCAACAAAGATCATTTTTATCTACTATTAGCCAGAGATTGCAATGTAAAACCAAAAAAAGTTAGCAAATATAGTATAAAAATTAAAACAACTCATTTTTATGTAACTAGTCTTGAATAGACTAAAGTAATGATACAGTTTGAATTTGTTAATAAGTTATTATAAAGGTTTGTATAGGTTAGGCGTATATTTATGAAAAGGTATTATTGATTACATATGGATATGAAAACAAACTTACCAAATATGGAGCTAAATATAATAAAAAACTAAGTACTTCAAGTTAGCAATAATGTGTAAGTGAGTAATTTCTCACTGGGAAAATACAAAGACTTAAATTATTTCATTTGTATGTACCATATAATGATAACTATAATAATTAAGCTCATTATAATATTGATGTAGAAAATATATTGTGAAATAAAACAACAAAACAAATTCAACAATTTTTAAGATAGTCTTCATTTTCTTCAACGATTATCATTCTATTACTTACATTAGCATAAATCCCCAAGTACAAATTCCTTTTCATCTCTCACTTTGCAATCACTAGTAATCTTTGGTTTCTATGTAGTTATTTATTTCATACAGGATAGATCAAAGTATTTAGTCTTGTGCCATTTTCTTCTTTCAGTCAGCAAAATGTTGCCACACATCACCCATGTGATGGCATTTATCCAAACTTGATCATTAGCGTGGAGTGTATATTATTTTAAATGTAATACAACAGCCATCTGTTTACAAACATTTAGGTTGTTGCCTTTTTAAAAAGTACTATTTTTAAATTTTTTTTTAAATTTTATCATTTTTGTGTGCGTGTACCGTCAAACCAGATCTGACTGGTACAGGAGGAGATTGTCCCTCCTTTCCTGGCAGAGCATCTGGTGGATTTGAACCGTGCACCTCTAGGATTGTAGTTGCAGCTCCTTGCCACTAGGCCACCAGAGCTCCCCTAAAAGTACTATTTTTTAAACAATAGTTTTCTCAATGCTGCAATAACTTCCTTATTTCTGAGGCTGTATATCATGGGATTAAACATGGGAGTCACAATGGTATAGAAAAGGGAAAGCAGCTTGTCTCTTCCTGCAGAATGATTGGATTTAGGACTGAAGTAGGTGATGGTAGCAGAGCCAAAGAACAAAAGCACTACCAGAAGGTGCGAAGAACATGTGGAGAAGGCTTTAGCTCTTCCCGAGGCCGTTGGTAATTTCAGAATGGTGGAAATGATTTTGCTGTATGACGCGAGTATTAACGTAAAAGGGACTGAAACAATCACCACAGCTAGTACGAAGGTAATAATCTCATTAAGAGATGTGTCCCCACAGGCCAGTTTGATAATGGGAGGGATGTCACAAAAGAAGTGATTAATTGTATTTGAATCACAAAACCGCAGGGAAAAAATCTGAGCTGTTTCCCCTATCTGGATGGGCATTCCTATGATCCAGGAGCCAACTGCTAACTGGGTACACATCTTTTGATTCATGACTAGAGGATAGTGCAGAGGGTTACAGATGGCCACATAGCGGTCATAAGCCATCACCGCCAGGAGGAAACATTCAGTGGCGCCCAACATAAGAAAGAAACACATTTGGGTGGCACATTCCAGTAAAGAAATACTTCTATCCTGAGTGCAAAGGTTCACCAACATCCTAGGGAGAATGACAGACACGTAACAGATTTCCAAAAAAGAAAAATTTGCCAAGAAAAAATACATTGGTTTTTGTAGTGCAGGTTCAATTTTGATCAGTACTATAATGAGACTATTTCCAATCACAATAATCATATAAATGCTGAGGAACAATCCAAACAAAAACCCTTGGAGATTTGAAAGATCAGAAAATCCCAGCAGGATAAATTGTGTCACCGTAGAAATATTGCCTTCTATTGTTTTCCATTCCTGTTTCATCTGTAAAAATTATTTAATCAGATATTTTAGTTACTTTAAATATTTTGGCTTTTGTATGCTCACTTATAAATGGAAGGTGACTTGCTTTTTTAATTATTCTAATCCCCTTTGGAATAAATTCTTTGAATGACAGTTTCTATATTACAGCCTCTCAAATTATCCCTCAATAAATCCACATGGAAGGAAGGTTTAGTATTTTTTAAAATTATTGTTCTTAAAAAAGTGTTTTTATATGTCTTTGCTTTTGGCAAAGAGATGAGATTTCAATTTCATATTTTAAAATTTTGTTATTCACTGAAGCTCAAGATCTAAAATTACATTAAATGATGAGAATTATACCATTTTTTTACTTGGAATTCTTTTCTTGTTGTTTCTTATTTCTGTTTTCTGCTATCATCAGTTGAAAATTAAATTCTCTACCCAAATATCCTGTAAGGTCCATAGGGAGTTACACTCCTAACATAATAGCTGTACCTCTTCAGCAGTTCAAATTCGTCAGCTGCCTTTTGGGAAAAAGAATAAGCAATACCCTCCTTTCTGATTTACAGCCTCCCTAAACCCACTAGAGGGTCAGCTCTGAATCAGTTCTGACTTGAAAGCAATGAGAATGAATTAGTGTGAGAGTCTATTTTAATTTTGGATATTTAAATGTAGTTAAGAGAAAATGATAATGTTCCTACCGTATTTAAAATACTTGTTTTGTATA